CTGTTTGTTGTTGTTCTCTCGAGCTCTAACTCCGCCCTCTTCCTTCTCCCTCCCTCATGTCCTCACCAGATGTCACTTTGCCTGGACACTGACACGGATGCTGGCACCGTACATATACTAGGAGGGTGTTCACCTCTCTGATTCCGACTCCCCCTCTCCTTCATGGAGGCCTCACTTGCCAAGACGTCTTTGTGACTTTCCTGCGTCAGCCTCCGGGGGATTTATTTCTTACTCTATGTGTGGGCTTCTTTCCTTACCTTACTGGTGTCATTTCTCAAGAAATTAATTATGTGAGATACTTCCTAAGAAAGGTGTGTGGGAAATAAACCCTGTGAATCTCCCACGTTGGAAATCCCCACTCTGCTCACACACTTGATGGTAGTGTGAGCCGGTGTGCGTTCTTGTTGAAGAGTTCCTCAAACGTGGGGCTTTGGAAGCGTGCTTTCACTGTCTTCTGAAAAGTCTGATGCTGTTTAAGGTGACTGGGTTTCTTTAGAAGCATTTCTTGTGGTTGTTGATTGCCTTCGAGGTGAGCACGACTCAGCGACCTTATGAACAAAAGGCCTGAAGCCCCTCTACAACTAGCGACATTTATCAAAGTTCATAGAGTTTCCAGAGGCATGTTATTTAGGAAGTCGATGCCACTCTTGCTGCCAAACCTGACATAGAATGTTATTTGTTGAGTCGCCTGCAATGCGTAGTGACCCTGTGGACAACAGCTCTGAACCCTTCCCTGTCCTGAGTTAGTTTCACTAATTCTGACACACCAACCTCCATCGCCCCAGTTACTGTATCAGTCTATCTCACCCAGGGTCTCCATCTTCTGCACTGTCCGTCCACCCTTCTGAGCATGGGACCCATCTCTCCTGGCCACGTGCCCAAAGTAAGTGAGGTGGAGCTTCAAAATCCTAGCCTTTGAGGAGAGACTTGGTTTCATCCTCTCCAAGACAGACTGTTTGTTTTCTTGCGTATGCCTCCTAGTGACCCCGGGAACAACAGATCTGAGCTTCGCCCCATCCTGCATCATCTTCATCATCTCTGTCACAGTCACAGTGTCTGTCCATCTTACTGAGGATCTTCTGCACTTTCTCTGATTCTTTGTTTCCAAGCATGACGTCTTTTTCCAAGGACTTACCACTCTTGACAACATGCACATAGTATGTGAGACCAAGTGTCAGCATTTTGCCTCTAAGGAGCAGTCCTTCAAGACAGACTTGTTTGTTCTCTTGGCAGTCCATGTTCAGTACTCTTTTTCAGCACTAGAACTCAAAAGCGTCAGTTCTCTGTCATCCTTATTCATTGTCCAAGTTTCATTTGCGTAGGAAGTAATGGAAAAGATGATGGCATGGATTAGGCACGCCTTAGTCTTTAAACCAACATCATTACTCTTTGGCACTTTGGAGAAGTTCCTGACTCCAGATATTTCAATCAGTGTCTTTTGATTACTGTTACCACCATGATGGTTGGTTGTGGATCCAAATAAAATTAAATTGTTGCCCACTTCACTCTTTTCTTCATGGATCATGATATGATGTTCCCTGTTGGTCTAGAGATGAGGATTTTTGGTTTGTTGGGTTTTTTTTGGGGGGGGGGTTCTTTTTTTTATGTTGGAATGTAATCAGTATTGAAGGCTTTGATCTTCTGCAGTAAGTGCTTCAAGTCTTTACTTTCTGCAGGCGGGGTTGTGTCATCTGCGTAACACAGATTGTTTATAAGTCTTGCTCCAATCCTGATGCCACATTCGTCATCATATAGTCTTATTAGGTGCCATCAAGTTGAGTACGACTCAACGACCCTGTGAACAACAAATCTGCACCTAGAGGTGTCCTGCGCCATCCTCACGCTTCCTGACACACAAGAGCCCATTGCAGCAGTCACCTTGTCAGTCCACCTGGTTGAGGGCCTTCCTCTCCTTTGCCGACCCTCTTCCCTTCCCAACATCATGTCCCTCTTCAAGGAATAGCACCCCATAGCAATATGCCCAAAGTATGTGATGTAGCTCCTTGAAAAACATTTGGGATTTTTTTTTAAATGATGTTTTCTTTTAGGGTCTCATTGTTTATTATGTTGAACATTTAATGTGCTTTACTTTAGTGCGTAACAACCTACATTAGGCAGATGACACAACCTTGCTTGCTAAAACTGAGGAGGACCTGAAGCGCTTGCTGCAGAAGGTCAAGGACTGCAGCCTTCAGTATTGATTGAGGCTCAATGTCAAGAAGACAAAGATTCTCGCCACTGGGCCAACTGGCAGCACTATGATGAATAGAGAAGAGATTGAGGTTGTTAACTGAGTTAAAGCTTGCTTGGCCCCTTAGTCAACACCAGCAGTCAGGAAATCAAAAGACGAATTGCATTGGGAAAATCTGCTGTCAGGGACCTTTCCAAAGTAGTGAGAAGCAACGATGCCAGTCTAGAGACTAAGGTGCGCTTGATCCAGTCCATGATCTTCACAATTACTTGCTATGCATCAGAGAGCTGGATAATGACTAAAGATGGTAGAAAAAGAATTGATGCTTTTGAGCTGTGGTGCTGGACAAGAGTCTTGAATGTACCATGGACCTCCAGGAAAGCAAATAGATCTGTCTTAGAGAGGGTGAAACCAAGTTTCTCCTTGGAAGCTAGGATTATGAAGCTCCATCTCACATACTTTGGACCTGCAACCAGGAGGGATCGATCCTTTTAGAAGGATGTCATGCTTGAAAGGGTAAAGGGACAGCACAGGAAAGGAAGACCCCAGATGAGATGGATTGATACAGTAACTAGGACAGTGGGGGTAGGTGTATCAGAGTCAATAAGACTGGCTCACAACAGGGCAGGCTTCAGAGCTATTGTACGTAGGGTCGCTATGAGTCGCAGTGACTTGACAGCACATAACAACAAAAACTGGTTCAAGTGCTGGAAATTTCTCCTGCTTTGACAGCTTCCTTCCGTCTCTTTGCTCTCTGGAATACATAGGACTCCTCTAAGCCCACATCTTTTCCTCTCTAAACTTATGCCTGCCTCCTAAGAACTAGTGAGTTACTCTGTACACATTAATGCTGATAGCAGATCTGGCACTTGGCAGGTGTTTTATAAACATGAGTTACTAGTGTTCACTGACCCGCCGAATGATTTTTCATGCCCCATCTTTTTAAACAAATGTCTTTTTACTCTGGATGCTGGGACATTCCCTTTTTTCTAGTCTATTGAATTAAAAAAAAATATGACACACCTACTCCTTTCTTTTCAACCCCCTCATTATCCATCATTTGTGTTGATGGCAGTACTGAAAACTCAGTCACCCGACCCTTGTGTGCTGAATAACATCCAGCTGACAGTGAGAAACGACGTGCCGTGAGGTGCCGTGTGGGTTACGGATACAGGACAGCGCGGCTCCGCAGTCACGGGAGGTATAGTTGGGTGGTGAGGAGTGACAGGCTGGGAGTCTTCAGCGAGGTGTGTGAATCACCTGAAGGCGACCCATCTGCAGTGGTTCGAGTCCACCAGTGGCTCCTCGGGAGGAAGACGGCAGTCTCCTCCCCATAGCAGTTTGCAGCCTCACAAACCTGAGGGGGGCTCATTGTCAGGTAGAAAGATCTCATTGGGACCAAGGAGGGAGTTTTGAGAGCTATGTAGCCACTTTCCATTTTCTGATCTGATGAGGCCGTTCTCCTTCCTTTTACAAATTATGTTGGGTTTTTTTCCACTTGCTCTTTTTAACATCTAAGCTTTTGAATTTTATTTAAGAATTTCTTTTTTCTTGTTGAGAACACACATGGCAGAACACACATGTACAACCCTGTGATGTTGGCATTCTTGAAGCATGCAGCCATGCCCGCTCTCTTTTCTGAATTCTTCCTGCCCCATGAACATGGGCACATTGCCCGGTGCCAGGGAGGGTCCTGGGCAATGCTGATAGGTAAGCTTACTCTGCGCTTACTCTACTAACATTTGGTTGTTTCAGTTGGAGTAAGACAGAGATGAGCCACTGGGTGGCACAAAAGGTTAAGTGCTCAGGTGTTAACTGAGAGGTTGATGGTTCAAGTCCAAAGGCCTGGCAGTCTCCTTTGAACGATAATCCACTGATTGGATTATGCTTTCACTCTGACTGCCCTTGGTTGTTGTGAATCAAGTTGACTTAACAGCACCTACTTTGATTTAGATTTATAAGACAGATCTCTGAGAGTGGGAGAAAATGTCAAAGAAAATTTTACAGTATTTGAATCCAATAAGTCATATTTTGTTATATTTGTGAATTTGTTTTCCAGTAATTTCTGGCCCAGTTATGAATGCCCTGTTACATGTAAGCACATATGTTACCGTCCTCATTATATACAACACGTAATGAAAACCTTTCTGTCTGCTGGTGGTGGTCCTTTGGAGAGGGAGCGGTGGATGGCGTGAGGTGCTTGGTTGTGAACGGTCTGATCACTTCCTTCAGAGGGGAGCACAGTATTTTCCTGTCACTTGCATTATGAAAGCACTGATGTCAAAACATTGGCCGTTTATTTTGGGGGACAAGATTATGGGAAAGTGTTTAATTGTATACTTTGCTGAGTTTCTGAATTGTATCAGGTTTCTCTGAGACTCTGGGGTGCTTGAGGCTCTGCTGTGTCCCCAGTGACTTTGTTAACATGGATAGAGCCAAGAGAACACTACGGGGTTGGTTCCACTGTGTGGTGTCTGGTTGTGGGTCACTGGGCCCCGCTGGAGGGGAACTGCCCTCGGGGCAGGTGCCGTCAGTTACTACTGTCACTCGGGCCACCTTTGCTGAACTGGACCAGCTGGGCCCTGCATCCTGTCGCAGTCACTGCTACTGTGGCCTTAGCACCCTCGTTGGCTGCAGGAACAAACAACACCCCCCCACACACCCCCTCCTGTAGTGACTCTGCACCTTCTCTTCCTCTACTCTTAGGTGACCTTCCTGCCCCAGGGACAACCCAGCGAGAGGCTGCTGGGCCGCAGTGGGGAGGTGATAGGTCCAGGTGCTGACGGGCGCATTTTCTCTTTCTTTTCAGTGTGCAAGGAGCCCCCCTACAAAGTGGAAGAGTCGGGATATGCTGGCTTCATCATGCCCATCGAGGTGCACTTCAAAAACAAGGTAGGACCCTCAGCGGCAGGAGGGGGGCAGACCCGGGGCAGGCAAGGAGGAGTGCCTGTCCCCAGGAGATGTTCCCGACCACTGGGGAAACATACGGGCCACTCACAGTGTACCAGCTAGAGGCTTTCCTCCCTGGGAGAGGGGACAGAGTGCAGACAGGGTAGATTTGCCCCCAGGAGCTCTGGTGGCACAGTGGTTAAGTGCTGGTTACTAACAGATGCTGGCGGTGCCCAACCACCCGGAGGCTCTGTGGGGACAGGCCTGCCACCGGCTCTGTGAGGAGGGCAGTCTGGAAGCCCCAGTGGGCTGCTCTGCTCTGTTCTGAGGGGTTGCTATGGCAGAATGGTCTCCATGGCACCCAGGACACAGAGCTCTTTGACACCCATGGTCTCTTGAGGGGGCAGCGCACACACAGGGCCGGACCGTGGGCAGTCCCTGGGCCCATCATACAGGACAGTGACCTGTCGGAAGTTACCTCAGTGTCCCTCGTAACTGTGGTGCTTGTTCTGAATGGAGTATTTGGTGACCTGGGGAGAAGCTTATAATGCAGAATGAAGAGAACAGCTCACTGCATGTCTTCTGAAGTCCCCGGGTGATGCGTGCGGGAAATTGCTGGCCACTAACTAAAAGGTTGGTGGTTCAAAGCCATCAAGAAACACCTTGGAAGGTAGGCCTGGTGATCTGTCTCAGATGGGCCTTAGTCTTCAGCCCTGGGAACAGGTCTCTGCACACGGGAGGTGCAGAGCCAGGAGCTGGAATTGTTGCCGCCATGGCCAACAGCGACACCTGCCTGTAGAAGGAGCCCTGGACATGGTGACCAGGTGCTGTGCTGCTAATGCAGATGCCGGGGGTCCTCTGAGGGAGACCAGTGGGCAGGGTGCTTCCAGAACATTGTCCAGCTGTGGGCAGCCGCAAGGGACCTCACCTGTGCTCTGTCCTGTAACCACTTCCGGGGCAGTGGGTTTAGATTATTTGCTATTTGTAGAAAGAAGGAACTAAATGCTGCAGATAAATTATCAGAGGTGGGTGGGTGGTTGCATTATGGGGGATTTTTCTTTGATTTTTGGCTGTACTTTCGTACTTACCGAACATTTACAATGAGCACATACGGTTTTTGTATTAATCTCTATAATGAAATTACAAACAGCACCTCCCCACAGTGGCCTTTGGCCCTCTTTTCAGGCGCCCCCCAGTGGCCATCAGTTACATTTTGGCTCAGAGTGGCCTGGCCCAGATGGCTCCTGTTGTCCATATGCAGTGTGTCTGGTATAACGGCTGCTCCAGCCAGGGTGGGTGCTGGATGGCCGCTCTGGCCTGGGTGGCGTGGTGGCCGCTCTGGCCGACTTTCAGGCAGGAAGTCCCCACAGGAGGCCTGGAGGTGTTCCTACTTAGTTAATGAGTCCCTTGTTTACAACCCGCCATGCTAGAGACACGTGGCCGGAATCACCTTGTTCCCAAACACCCTGCATTAATGACCTCTGGGAACAGTGCTCAGGTGTGTGGCCTCCCGGGACCCGAGTGGCATTTCACCAGCCAGGGCACGATGGAATGTCAGGTGCTGGGTCTTTGGAGCCACAGTACAGTCGGGTGCCAGGTGTTGGGTCTCGGGACGGGGGGGAGTGTTGTGGGACAGTGGGGTCTCGGGTGTTGGGTATCCAGGGGGTCATGGGGTAGTGGGGTCTCAGGTGCTGGACTCCAGTGGGATCATGGGACAGTGGGATCTCAGATTCTGGCTCTCCATGGGACAGTGGGGTATCAGGTGCTGGGTCTCTGGGGAGGAGGGGGGACATGGGACAGTGGGGTCTCAGGTGCTGGGTCTTCAGTGTGGTCGTGGGGCAGTGGGGTTTTGGGTGCTGGCTCTCCATGGGATAGTGGAGCCTCAGGTGCTGGGTCTCTGGGGAGGTGGGGGGACACGGGGCAGTGGGATCTCGGGTACCAGGTCTCCGGCGAAGCGGGCTTTGTGTGCTGCATCACCCTGGACTGTCCTGCTGAGTGAAGCCTTGTGGAACCAGGACAGAATGGGGCTCTAGTGTGTGAGTGACTGTCCCCTGGGGAGACAGCCAAGTAGGTGTCTCCTGCAGACTGGGGAAGTGGGAGCAACTGTCCTATGCCACCTCCTGGAATGACAGACCCCCAGAGTTGCCACACGGGAGTGTTCTGAGGTCCTGGCTGGTGAAGCTGGGGGGCTCTTGAGGAGTGGGCGTAGAGGAGAGGCAGTCCGGCAGAGAACTGTGCAGTATGATCCTTCTAGGGCTGATCCTGGGGCGGGTGTGTGTGGATCTGAGCCCCCCGGGTGATGGCAGTGGCCCCTGTGAATTCTTCCATCCACTCCCCGCCACTTGCAGCAAGTGGGTGTCCTGTCGGGCCAGAGAATGGGGTGTTGCTCTTCTGAGCTCAGGGACAGTCAGGGTCCCTCAGATTGGATGGGGTATAGTTCTGTTGAAACTTGAGGACATTTGGAATTTTTTTTAATTAGCACCGGGCGCAGTTCACTGAGGCTTGGGGACATTTGGCATCCCTCGGGTGTGACTGGGGTACAGTTCACTGAGGCTGAGGTCCCTTGGGCATGAGTGGAGTACAGTTCACTGAGACTTGGGGACAGATTGGTCCTGTAAGTTCTTCTAGATTTTTCTCTGGTAACTGCCAGGAAGCTGGCTCTGTAGCCTTTTGGGTCCTGGCAGGACACCCCATATCTGGCCTGAGGCCTGGCTTGCCCAGAGGGCCGGACGGCACTGTGGAGATGGCCCTGTGTTCCATTTCTGCTTCAGTGTCCTTGCCAGTCACTCTTCTGCAAGGGGAGGGCTCCGCTCAGGCGGCTCTGCTGCCTGCTGTGACCCCACGGCTTCCCTGCCTGCTGTGACCCCACAGCCTCCAAGCCTGCTGTGACCCCGCGGCTGCCCTGCCTCCTGTGACCCCACAGCTACCCTGCCTCCTGTGACCCCGCGGCTTCCCTGCCTACTGTGACCCCGCGGCTTCCCTGCCTGCTGTGACCCCACGGCTGCCCTGCCTCCTGTGACCCCGCGGTTTCCCTGCCTGCTGTCATTGCCTTTGGCTCTTCAGGCTGGATGACGAGTTGCTGCCCACTGTCCATGTGCCTAGGCCCTCCAGGCTATGCGTCCCCACCCCCTTACCAGTGGGCAGGACAGTGCCATGCTTCTCTGGAGGAGGGGGAAGTGCTGGATGTTGGTACCAGGGAGGCCGTGGTCCCGGCTTTTTTTTTTTTTGTCTTTGTGGTCCCGGCTTTTACGGTTCTCCACTCTGGCAGCAGCTCCCCACACTCCCTGCTGGTGCGCCACCTTGAGCCTCTCTTGGTCCTTGTCTCCCCCAGGGAATGTTGGTGACCGATGGTCTGCTGACTAGTGGGCTTGGAGTCCGCCCACGGCCTGGGAGTCCCATCATGATAAGCAGACTCGAGTCCTGACCATGGCCCAGGGCCTGGTAGGCCTGTGGAACTGAGGTCTGCAGCTTCCACAGGGCAGAGTGACCTTCGGCGCCTGTGTTTAAGGCTGTAGCCAACCCCCAGGCCGGCACCCTCCGGCCGTTGCTTTCCACATGGGGATCCCAAGGCCTGGTGTCATCAGCATGGGCACGTCAGTGGGAGAGCAGAATTGGTTCGCTGCAGTGGGGGTCGAGGGTAGGCTGGGGTACAAGCTGGGGTCACGCATTGTTGCATTGTTTGGTCTGTGTGAGAGCCACAGTCCAGGGGGACCTAGGGCTGTGTGCATAGACAGCGTGTCCAGACACGGTTGGAGGGAGGCTGCCTGCAGAGGACAGCTGTGCCTTAGAAACTGACTGGTGCTGTCCCCTTGAATGTCATCATGTGGTGGCTCAGTCAGATCGTCCCTTGACCTTGAGGAGACCAAAGTTCAAGTCCCAGCCAGTGCATTTCAGGTACAGCCACCACCAGTCAGCCTTTGGGGCCTTGTGATCCTGAACAGGCAAGGATGGAGTGGGAAGAAAGGCCTGGCTGTTGTCTTTGGAAAACCAGCCCATGAATGCCCCCAGGTCCCAGTGGACAGTACAGGCCAGGCAGTGCTTCACCCTGTTAACAGCACCACCTTTAGCGCTGGGCAGGGTTCGAGGCCGGGGGCTGCACAGCACTGTGGTGTTGCTGGTTCACTCCTCGTGGGAGCCCTAGCTCAAGGCGGTCACGGAAAGCAGCCCCTGATGTTACAGAACGCGGATCAATAAGCAGGTGCTGCCCGGCCCTCTGTGACCACGCTACCACATCCACCCATCCAGCTGCCGTATGGCCCCCGTGTGACCACGCCTCACGTCCACCCATTCAGCTGCCGGCCCCCCCCCCCCCGTGACCACGCCTCACATCCACCCACCCAGCTGCCATACCCAGTGCCTCCCCCATGACCAAGCCATACCTCCCACCCATCCAGCTGCTATACCCTACACCCCGCACCCTGTGACCACACCGTCACTCCCACCCATCCAGCTGCCGTACCTGGCGACCCCCACCCTGCAGCCCCAAGCCTCTCCCTGTGCTAAGTCCTGAGACTCCTCCAGCTGTATCTGCCCCCTTGCTGTCCCCTCGATTCTGACTCACGGTGATGCCATGTGACAGTAGAACCCCACAGGGTCCCCTAGATGGCGTGAAGCTCCTTTCTAACTGTGTCAGGGTTTGGAGTTTCAGCACGTATCTTCATTTGAGCCCGTTGGCAGATGGGCAGCTTTCCTATGACAGGAGAAAGCCATAGACCTCAGAGTGGGCTGCCACGGGCTCCCCGAGGCCTGTGAGCCGCATGGGAGCACACACACACACACATACACACACACCCGTGTGATGCCTCCTGTTCCTGGCCACTGAGAACCTCACTTTTGGTGGTCATTTTGTCCCCAGAGTTTCTGAGGGCCCTGCACTGGAAGAAGCCTGGAATGTGCCCCGGCCTAGAATGTTCTGTGGCCCATGTAGGGTGTGTGTCAGGCTGCAGGCATTGCTGAGTGTGGCCTGATGGAGTCTCAGAACAGGCCCCGCAGGAAGCTCACCT